TAGCTCTTTGAATATGCAAACCAAACGCGTACCAGTTCTAATTTCCGCTTTTCTCGTTTACTAACGAGCTCGATCAATAGACGGGCCTTCTCCAAATCTTGACGCAGTCGTCGCCAGTAAAACAGCTGCATCTGCAGTTCTAACGACTGCTCGTTTGCTTTCTAAACGTGCAAATTTCGAACACTGCCTGACAGAAAAGAACAACGGTTCGTCTCTGACCTGAAAGCGGCCGTTCTGGCTGTACACTTGCAATCGTCTGAGTAGTGGAACGCCGAATCGAGACTGGCGCTTCAGCGTCCAGTACACGACCAGTCGAGAAATGAACTCCTGCTTACCGGCAAGTTTCATTCTGTTCGTAATTTCTTCCAGTCTAAAACAAACTATGTCATATGACATTTGATTCACATTTGGTTGTCTGAAAATCAAATATCAGATTTTGATGGATTAGACGCACAGCAGTAGACTGTTAACCCATCCTGTTAACCCACGATTGAGATATTTGCAAATGCCAAGCAATTAATGAATTAGCATACATTCGAAATATTTTATTCAGACACGGACTCACCTACAACCATTCCCTTAGCAGTTACAGAACAGAGTTATAAAAGCTGTTCGCATTTTCAACGTCTTAGTGAACAATCAAAAATCAGAAAGTTGTTTAGTGGAAGTTTACTGGAATTAAGTTCAAGCAACGATCCAGTCAATTCAAGAAACATTCTAATCGTTGCTCTCTTTGTAGACGAGAAGTGTAATATCCGGACTTGATGAATGAAGTAAGAAAACTCTTCATGAACGTTACTACACTGCTCTCATGAATGATGGCACTGAGCTGGAAAAACTGCTTGCTTTTCGGAAATAGAAGGATTTGCAGTGGCAATACAATATCAGGTTATGGCTTATGAAGAACAATAGAAACTTCAACATAAAAGAAAGCATCTCGGATACACGCAGGACGTGCGGCAGTAGAACGGACTCTTCCCACACACTGTCGGGCGGTTGCCCTATTTTGGCTAAAACCGAGTACCTCAACCAATGCCACAGCGTCGCAAAGTATACACTAAAAAATAGCACTCAAAGAAACTCATCTCTTAAGCTACATTGTATTATCGATGCCATCCAGTGAGCGTGCTTGAAAATCGGAATTGTCATCTATTTGGACTATTCTACTGCCAGCAATTGCATTGTTGATCACAATCATACTGCTGTTCCATTTTATGAAAAAGTGCAAAAAATATGGGTGGAAAAAAGATGAAAATACCAAACCCAGGTCTTAGATCTGAAGAGGTATCGGTAAAAAACTAGTCGAACAATATTAGTTATTATCGCCTCAAATAGCCTCATGCCAAAATCAATGAGGATAAGTACGGACTGAAAAACTGCCAGAAAGCCGTTGTTCTGTACACATGCAGAACACTGCGAAAGATCAATGATATTACAGCGTTGTTGCATACTGCAGCTAGCGGGCTATGCCTAGTCCCTGTCTTCCAGCAAATATTTTTTGTGTGAGAGACTATGAAATAAAATACAGCAATAGCAGAACTACTAGCAGTAGAAGCATTATTAATAGTACAGTTAGTTTTATTCGTTATTGTATAGCTAATATAACTGATAGTACAACATCAGTAGTAATAATCATAAACTCTTTAGTAGAACTAGCGTCATACTGTTGCTAAACAGTCAGTCATACCAGTTACACAACAGAAATATAGCTATTATAAGAATAACAGTACTGGAAAGTGTCAAGTCTGTGGGAAGCAAAATTAGTCTAACCAGTCATAAAAATCAAGTCATAAAATTATAAATTAAATTTCAGTTTGTATAGTAATTATGAAATTGCACGAATATGCGCTGAATTTAAGGCAGCCAAGATGCAGACGGGGCTATTTTAGGAGGTTATTCGACCATAAACATAAATGCAATAATTTATTAAACGCTAAAATGAAAATTTGCTCTTCGATCACGTGATCTCTAACAACATCGATCGTAAGTATAAGTACCTGCAAACATGCTTACAGCTTGACAGACAGCTAAGCTACCTTACTTGTTCTTGGGAATAACAGGAACCAAGATAACGGGTGAAGATAATCGCCGCTCCGCCAGAAAACTTCGTGACT